TGCCCTGGTATTCTGCTCCGGTTTCCCACCGAGTCTCTCAGTGCCCAAGCGCTCAGAAGGAACGCGATGTTTTGTGTGCTGTGAATCCCTGCTCACGGAGCACTAATCTCGATGTTTAGATAATCCCAGACTCTGCCCCTGCAAAGAGTGACAGATTAAATGCAATTAGTGCTGTCAAATCAAGTTATGATTTATTTATTAAATGCAAGATTTCTTCTCAAGGGTAGTGGTACTGAGCATATTACGTATGTTCATTTTTCATTCGTACAATCATTTTTAAAGCGTTAATTAAAGGCATTAATTAAACAATAGTTAGTGTGCTTTTAAAAGAGTGATAACTTTTATTGCTTGTTCTGCCTCTTTTTTTTTTTCCCCATGAAGTGATGGGAATGGGATGAGTTTAATTGTTTTCTGCACTGTTGTGTTTTGTTGTGGTTGTTTTTCCTGAAAGATAAAGTGGTATCAGTGTTGTATAAGAGTTCCAGAAGGACAATGATGTCACCTCAGTTCTTTATGTAAAGGGCTTTAGTAGAATTAGAATATTAGTTGAGTAATCTCACAAGCAATTTAGAGACAGTTTACAAAATGAATTTCAAGAGGTATCTATTAATGTTTACACTGATAACTAACTAATAAAATAATTACATATAAGAAAAATAATTACACGTTAATTGCCATCTAGTCATCTCTTTGGTCTGTACCGTCACAACTCTTCTGATTTTGTTCTCTTTCTAGCTGGTATCAGTGACACTCAGTTTTGTCCCTGTATGTATGTCTTTGATAGCAGTCAAATTCTTCCTGTGTTTTGCTTTGGCCGTTTAGAGAACAGACATAGGACATAACACAGTAATAAGTCAGAAATTTACATGCTTATTACTGTAAATTCTGAATTGCATAATTTCACATAGGAGCACACTGAGAAGCTTGTGTGAAAAAAATGATGGGAAGATAAAAATGAAAACTTTAAGGAAAAAATAACTGACATCAATGCTTTTATGATAAACATATAAATTAGAAATAAGCTGGGATTGCCTATCTTGCAGCCAGACATCCATCTAGGAGAGAACCTTCTTCAGAAACATGTTATTTTTTTCCAAAATCATTGCTCTTCGTTCCTTCAGCCTGAACACCAGCTGGATAAAGATAAGGCAATTAAATGTTCTCTGGTCCATGTCTGGAATATAAAAATAGCTGTACTTGCTAGTCAGCTCAGAAGTACTTCTGGCAATGACCAGGAGGATATTCCTGATAAACAGATTCTCCTCAGTCACCCTGTTTCTTGAAGCCCATGGCTGCTCAGTCCTATAACAAAGTCAGTAAATGGGTTTCAGGGACTTTTTTTTCACTTAGTTGTCTAATTGCCATTTGAACCCATAGCATTTTGTGGCAAGTGAAATTGTTATACTTTGTTCCACAGTAGAATTGTGCAAACATTTGGCCTTTTAAGAGTGATCCTTTGCCAATTTTTTTTTCAAGAATTTTTCAAATAATTTTAGATTGACCTTAAAGCAGCCTAAGGAAAATAAGATATTTCAGTTCAGTGACCTGCAGGTTTTTTGGTTACAAAAAGTAAGCAAAGATACAAGGACAACAAGGTAACCTTGTTGTCACTGTAGCAATGGTATCTGATAGAAATTCTAAATGATTCTGTTTTCATACATTTTTCAAGTGCAAGTTTCTTGTTCCTGTGAATTGCAGAAATTGGGGATGCATATATATAACTCTTTGAGAGATCTACTGAAAATTTTCTATGAGGATTATGATGGGGTTAGAGTTTACTTCCTTGAAGCTTTGCCATGAGAGATCTCGCAATGTCTGTCATGATGTCATGCGTTTCACTGTCTGCAATTTTAGTTTTCAAATGCTTCACTGTATTTTCTCCTATATTTTATTGCATCATGCATAAAAACCTCAAGATTAACAAGACACTTTATCAGAGATGCAACAGCATTTATTTTATAAACGGTATTAGTAATCTTAAATCTCTTCAATACATCATGAAGGTCTAAGTTCCCGGTGTACTCTGGCACAGTGCTGAGAGGTTATAGTTGACCTGTTTTGTTTTTTTTCTCCAGCTGTGTTCAGGGAAAGCTAAGCATATGGGATGTATTTGATGCAAGCACTACTCCAGCAATAGCTTTCAGCGCAACTGTTGATGTTGAGGTCTTTCAAATGAGGAGACCTTGCGAATTAAATTCTGATTTTCAACCTGATGTGTATAAGCTCAGCTTCTTCTTTCCAGGCTGTGTACTTCTTTTATGGCATCTGATTCATTTTTCTCCATCCTTTCTTGTAAGGTTATACATTCTCTAAGTTTTGTCAGAGTCTTTCCTCTGTGTTTCCTTTCTTCTTCTGGTTGCTTTTCTCTCCATTACATATACCTATAGGTCTACAGGGACCTACCTCAGAATTCTGCATCATTCTACTTCTGGACTTTGCTTGTTGGGTTGTACATATGAGGAAGTACAATAACCTGGATGTGCATAAGTAGAATGAGTCTGAGAAAATTGTGCTTTAACTAGAGAAGTCTGTTTTCCTCAGAGCGGAAACTAGTATTAAATTGCTAAAATACATTGCCAACGTAACCTTTCTATTCTGTATGTACATAATCACTATAAATCACCAGTAAAGCTATTCCAACACAACATGGCCTACAAGAACTCCTTTGAAAGCATCTTCTCCTATTTTCATTCAATTCTTATTGCATGGGGTTTTTTTTATTCTGGACTATTGCACTGCTGCTTCTAGTTTTCTGACCATTTTGTTTTATTCCTTTTTTAAATTATGTCCTTTGCTAACATGCATGCCTTGTTTGTTCGTACGCTTATTTTGTTAAATGTTAAAGTTCAATATTTAATTATTTTTCTTATTCTCCAAGTGACTTATTTAGCAGAGCTTGATGATTATTTTGAAGAGTTACTTAAAATGTGAATTTCTGTCATTTTAACTTTTGTTCTGTAAGAACAAACACAACAGATTTAGGAGATTCTTCCATGCCATATGTTTTCAAGAACTGAGTTGGTTTAGTTTGATACATACATTTATACTGTCAGTTTTTAGAATTGTGTTTGGAAATGAAAATGTATAAGAATGATTGTAGAATCTTTTATTCAAGCCTTATATTGGGGGGAAAAAAATCATGTATCACTTCTGGAAGTTGAAAACGTTGTTGTTGTTGTTGTTGTTTTACTTTGAATGTGCCTGTTATTTTTGCAGAAATGGAAGTCTGAGTTATATTTGAGTTTTAAAATGCTGCTTCTTTTTGTTGTATAAGAAATTTAGTAGGTATGCACTTGAAAAATTCTGTGTTGGCATTTTCAGTTTATGGAAATCAGAAATGACAGAGAAAAGGTTGCTACTTCAAGCTACCTTTTCTTTGCCATTTTATCTTTCATTAGTGTATCTTAAATCTCTGTTCGCATAAAGAATTAAAGAGAGCTCAGTATACCAGATGACCAAGTGAGCATGTATGAAGCCATGCAGACTACTCTTTATGTTTTCCTCAAAAAATACAGAGGCAGCTTGGCCCAGGTTCAAGCATGCCACCCAACCAGTATGCCACAGCTTGTCCCTTGCGTTGCCTGAAAACTAGGTTTGGTGGCATGACCAACAGTAGCATTTAATTTCTTAGCAGTTTTGAAATCAGATTTGTAAAAGAATTGCTTCTAGTGGCTGTTGTGTTGGCTATTCACAACTACACCAGCCTGACTCTTTTCCCAATGAAAATTGAGCTCATGCAGCCACACACAGCTTCATGGGTAGCTGGACTGTGTTCTCCTGCAAGCATTTCATATCCCTATGCAAAAAAAGCAGCCTTACACTCCCTCTACTGCAGGTCACCCTTCTCCATCTCTACTCCATCAGTCTGTTTTCTTATACAAACCAATGTTTATGAGACCGGGCAATGTAAAGTTTAAATAATGTTATCTCCATTGATTTTATTAGTATTCAATTTTATGGCAAGCTTTTGTCTGGAGCAGTGGCAGTGGGGGAAACGTTTTTAAGACAACAGTGGCTTAGGCAAGATTCAGAGCTTGTAGAACTGCTTCCTGAAGAAGATGGCATGATTTTTGTGCTTAGTGTACAAGAACTTACAGTTTCTTCAGGTTATCCATATCAAATTATCTTACAGTTTTGGCCTTTAAGGTAATAACTTCTATTTGGACTGAGGTACATACAGTAGAATTAAAAATGAAAAATCGGTTGCTATAAGACAGCTTTCCAAAAAGTACCCAAAATATTATCCAAATAATGTAATAAGGATAGAAGAACTATCTGGGGAATCTTTACTTAAGGGTAGTATTTGAAAATCACCAAAGCATAATTTATATGCTTTCTACTGCGTAAAGACCTTTCAGCTCTTACAGATGCATGATCAGATCTCACAGCAGGACTTGGTCAACACTGTTGTCCTCTAATATCAGTATATGGTCCTTTGAGCTCTTATCCCAGGAAAGAAAGGATGAGAAGAGAAACTGAGTGCAACACATACAATCTTCAGGTTACTAAGATGCTGTAGTTCCTATCAAGACTCCATGAGTTACTGTAAAGAGTTCCTTATCTTTGTAAATATAATCCCCAGAAGACTAAAAGGACATTTAGGCTGAGTGTTTAGTTAAAACCTTGGAAATTATTAAAACAAAGGTTTAGAAACTACTCTCAAAATCCTTCTGTGTTGCTTACTTGATATTATCCACTTCACATAGCTTATGCACTACAGTTTCCAACAGCATAATGTGTCCTCGCGTCCTCCTGAGGCTCTGCAGACTGACTGTGCACAAAGACTGTGATCAGCTAATAAAACCATGGTGCACTGAAACTGGGTGCCGGTAATCTTGCTAGGGTGCTATATTTACTTAGTCTATATTGGTAGCACTCTGTAAGAGGTTTAAAGTAGCTCTCAGATTCAGAGCTGGTGTTTGAATGATTGTTGCTGGGAAGCAAGAGTGAACGTTTGGATGAATAAATACTGAAAAAGGTTACTTGGTATGTTTGACACTATGGGTGCTTCTGGATCAGCCGATGACATTAATGCCATGGAAATTCACCACTGGTATACAAAATTTATGAAGGAGTGCCCATCTGGGCAACTTTGTCTGCATGAATTTAAGCACGTCTTGGATCTGCATGGACTTACTCCAGAAGCTAACAGCTATGTTGAACAAGTATTTCATACCTTTGACATGAATAAGGTAAGAATTCATTCTTAACTTCACGATTTTCTTATGGCTGTACCACTTGATGCATTCAGCAATGTGTCTCACAGTGCTGGTAATGCTGGCTATTCCAGAGGTAATGGCAATGAATCAGAAGATTCAACAGAAAACTACCAACAAATAAATGTGAATGTCTGGCAGACAATTTTGAATGCTTTGCTCCAAGTATATTTTGGAAACAGCATATATTCTAATATGTGCTGATGAATATGTGCTCACCGTTGAAAGATGGATTTTTATTATTGTTTTACATGTATTTCTGTAACTGGAAGTTTATTTACATTATTTTACTTGAAAAATATTTTTAGAGCACTAAGTTTTAGACTGGGTCACTCAGTGTTATTGCTTTAAGAATGTGCAATGAGATTTCTTCCATCACCAGATAAAACGTTTCTGTACTCTTTTTGAGCACCTTACATGGCTTAGACTGGTATCAGTCAATTTACCTTTCCCAAAGACACATTTGTCTAGTTTTAATCCCTCTTCCCAATTTTAACATCCCAAGTGAATCCTAGGGCTTCCAGCAGCTGTTAGTTGTGCTGTCATAATTTGTTCTTCCAACTCAAAGTTCATCAGATTCCTTCTAGCCATGAGAGCCATCCAGAAAATTGTGCCTTGTTATTCCTTTTCGAGCCAAAGTATCACTTTATTAAATGTTACAAAAGAAGTGGAGAGTCATCTGTAACCCCTACAGAAGTGTTTGTCCTTGACTAAAATTACATTTAGGCTGAACTGTCAATAGTAAAACAACAGTCAGCTTCCAGCTGAAAGAAAGGACGGGCCCATTATGGTGTGAAAACTGATTACTACATAAATAAGTAAAAGCATTATTGTGTCAGAAAATTGAGCCCTGACCTTCAGTTACTTTCCAGAAAACCAGAACGTGAAATAAATACTTCTTCAAATCAGGTTTCTGTGAAGAAGATAGCATACCAGTGCAAGACCAACGAGGGGCATCAGGAAACTGGGCTCTTAGTATGGAATAACTGAGTGAGAGATGGTGAGAAGATGAAGGCACCTTTTGGAATAATTTTGCTCCAACAGATATGCTCATAAGAACTTGTCACTGCTGTTGACATTGGTCCTTATCTTTGCAAATACCTGTTCTACTCAGTAAATGGTGAAACCAGTACAGGTAGCAAGTAAGTCAGGTCACAAAACTTCAAGGTACAGTTGCTCTTTACCACCTCATCCCATTAAGTTTTTCTATTATTTGTAGCCCTTAAATTACTAAATATGATTGAAAGTGTAACAGTTTCCTTCACTTGTTTATAATACTCATGGTATTGAGAATGTAGTTATAAAGGATGATTGTTGTTTTTTACATACTTCAAGTATTGAAATCCAACAAATTACAGTTATGGAGAATAAGTTTACATGTCTAGGTTGTTTCCATAGGAAAAAATTATTTTGCCAAAGCAGCTAGCCACTCAGTATAAGGACAAGCCCATTTCCAGAAGAAGGCCAGAAAAACAGTCCAAGAGATGGAACACTTCCCTTTGACAGCAGGCTGAGAGAGCTAGGCTGTTCAGCCTGGAGAAGAGAAGGCTTTGGGGAGACCTAGTAGCAGCTTTTCAGTATCCATAGAGGAGTTATAAGAAAGAAGGGGACAGACTCCGATCTATAAAGGGGAACAGCTTTTTTAAAAATACGGATGTCTTTTAATTGGTTGGTTGTTTTTTACAATTGTGGATCACAGAATTTCCTTTCCCATCCAAGTAGCTTAGCACCCAAGGAGTACCTTGCTCAAGTTAACTGATGAATGTTAAGTTCCTTAAACTTGCCACATTATACACACATCAAAGTTTTATTGTTACCTGGTCCCATCTAGCAGTCTCTAATCCCCCGTTCTTGTCAATCCTTAGCTTTTTAATCACTTGGCATATTTCAATGAAATTTCAAAGAGTAGAAATTTCAACTAATTCAATCCTAAAGTTGTTTTAAAATTGGCAGCTGGGTAGCAGGGACAACCCACAGTAATTGCCCCACTCATACAGAATTCTGCTTTTATTCATTGTTCAAGGCAGCAGCTGGCAGGAAAAATAATCAGGCGATTATTTTCTTTTGCCTGGTGAAAATATAGAGTGGAGCTGATGCGTCAGGGTGAAGAGATATAGCAGGGAGTAGACAGAGTCTACATAAATGTAGGCTTTTGTTTTGCTGTTCCCAGAAGAGCTTGTTTAATTAATGTTCCATGTTAGACAGAAAAAGATGTTTCAATATTTTATCTATTTCGAAGTCTTCCCCCCATTTTGATGAAATTAAACAACAATTTGGCCTTTAGAGCTTCATAAAATACACTATAAAACTGCATATGCTAAGCTCTTAACGTCATTATTTAATAATGAGCTCCAGCTTAAGATCTGATCTTCATTTCCAGTTCTGCAAGATGCTTTAACAGTCTGCCATTAGCTACTGTAATCTGAGGCATAGATTTTATTGTATATTTTCTTAATTGAGCTGTTGCAGCAGAAAGCCAAGGAAAGGTTTCCTAGAAGGGAGAGTTGTCAGCACACATTTAGAATAGCCATATACCTGAGATTGTGCCGTGTTTATCTTTTTGCAATGGGGAATGTTACTAAAAATGTGACATCTACTCCCAGATAAAAGGCTGTCGAGTTTTTCTCCTTAAGCAATCCATTTATATAATGTAGTAGCTTAAGGAAATGCATTAACTGAACTCCAGTGTTTTTCAGCAGTACAGCTACAAAAGATTCAGATGCACATGGCATCTAGAAGAGCTGCAGCTTAGTCTTATTTTTTCTCTTACGTAAAGTCTTGTGAGCATCTCAACAGAAACCCTTTAGCAAATAAAATCCCCTGTACCCTGGGGTGCATCAGGCCCAGCACTGCCAGCTGGGCAAAGAAAAGAGTTCTGCTCTGCTCTGTGCTGTAGTGCCTCGCTTCCAGCACTGGGTGTAGCTCTGGGTGCCACAGTGTGAGAAAGACATAAAATTTTCTTTGACAGAAAGTCTAAAGGAGGGCTGCAATAGTGGAGAAGGGTCCGGAGGGCAAGGTGTATGAGGAATAACTGAGGTCTCTGGATGTGTTCAGCGCAGAGCAGAGGAGCTGAGCGGAGGCCTGATGGCGGCTGCAGCTCCTCACAGGAGCGGAGGGTTAGCGCTGAGCTCTGCTCTGTGTGACAGCGACAGGGCCCGAGGGAACGGCATGGAGCTGTGTCAGGGGAGGGCAGATGGGGGTTGGGGGAAGGGTCTGCACCAGAGGGCGGTGGGCATGGAACGGGCTACTCAGGACTGTGGGCATGGCCCCAAGTAATGGAGTTCAAGGGGCATTTGGACACTGCTTTCAGACAGGGTTTGGATTTTGGGTGGTGCTGGGTGGAGCCAGGAGTTGAACTGAGTAATCTTGGTGGGGCCCTTCCAGCTTGGGTGATTCTGTGATTCTATGGGGACCGGGACCTTTCAATCCATGCGCCAGCGTTTCATAAGCTTCTCCTCTGGAATTCTGTTTCGTTTGATGTGATATCTGTTGTAATGAATGTTTCCTGTGAAGTCATTCTACAAATTTCAGCCAGTTTATATAAAACAGTGACCTGCTGGCATACCAGCCATGTGAGAGTAATTCATCGGCTATTTTTATGGTTTGCAATGAGCTTTCTCAGAAATTGTATCCTCATGCTGTTTTTGATCATTCTGACCATATTGGCGCTTCCCTAACAGGAGTATGACTTATGTGCTATACAGTCAAAATGCATTTGTCTTCTGGATTCTGGTCTTAATGTGAAAATCCACCTTAAGACTCCTTTCCTTGCTGAGCCAAAAGATCTTACTACAAAATGACTCAGCTCTTTGCACCTTAGGAGAACCAAGTCTCTCTGCCCTCCACTTCAGTGGAAAATCAGTCTACCTGATTTGGTCAGCAGAAAGTTTACTTCTTAATAGAATAAAGAAATATATATGTTGTCAGTTTGTGAAAGAAATTTCATATAAATCAAAGTTCTCGTGTGTCACAGCATTTAGAAATGCCAAAAGTTATTCATTATTGTTCAGACCGTCTTGCCTACTGCGATGCAATTACACTTCAAAGTTGCAAACTGCAGGGATGGTTTGTTTGTTTATTCTAAAATCTACATGTTATTTTTCTTCTGCCAGAGGACCAGATTTTGTTTATTGCCATGATGGCAAAAATCATTTCCCAGATCTTTGACGTTATTTAATGCAAAAACAAATTTGGAATCTAATATCTTGCAGTACGTGTTTGGCATTTAAGAAATGCCAATTAAGAGACTCCAAGCAAATAATGGACATCGGTGTACTGCAAACTTCTCTCTGAACCTGAAATTGATAGAGGTAGTTTTATCAACTTTCAGATTCTGATACATGCTTTAAATACTCTAGTTTATATCACTGCATTATCTGAGATTGTGTGAACAGAACATGAGTGTTAAATGGATTATGCAAATGAAGCAATTTGATTACACTTCCATTATTTCTGCTGTTTCGGGATTTTATATATATAAGGGCATATTCCTAGTTCTTTTTACCTCAAGATAATGTGAGAGGTATTTAACTCATTCTTGGGTTAGATAGGATCTAAGTCAAATTCAAAGCATGTACTTTAATTGGAGAGTCATGAAGAGTCTGCTTTCAATTAAAATGTTCCTCTCCTAAATTTCACTAGCACTGATTTATGTACTTTCATTCTCATGTGTGAATTTCACCAGTTTTCTTACTTAAATAACCTGGTATCTCCTGTAAGAGATTTTCAGGACATTTGTTTCCAATGCCATTGCTGTCTTCCAGTATGTTCTGTTATGGTCTTTCAGTTGGATGAACGTGTTCTAGCATACACTAGAGTCCCAATATATATTATTAGTATTTTGTAGGAATTGTTTTTCTCCTTGTTTTCCAAAGGGCTGAAAGAAAAGCTATCCAAACAAAGTATACAGCAGCACCATTTAGCTGCTTGTGAAGCATTCAAAAGTTATCACAGCCAGAGCATTTTTAGTGCAAAGT